AAAATGAAAATATGTAATTTTTTATTATTATTACTCAAAAGTTAATTTCTGCGTTGTTTTCTGTATTAAATTGACAGTTATCTGTATTTTTTACGTGAGAAATGTGATAATTTTTCGGTTAGTGTTAAAACCTACGTTGATTCTGAGATTTATGTCTAGTGATTAGCAATCTTCCCGTTTATCAAAAGATCTGTGCAACTTTTCACGTTGAGTAAGTGTTTGCAGCGTTGAATAAAAAAGAGAGACTGTTAATGGTATATGAAACGAGGTCTGAAGAAAGATTTGAAGTGGAAAATTTAGTTAAATTTGTTTAACCGAGTTTCTACATTAATTATAAATTTTTTCAAAATTATGATTAGAATACAATTTTATTCCGTCACCTATGCAGTGTAATATTTTCTTTACAGGGGCATATATTTCTAAATAATTATCAATATGTAAAAATTTACATTTACGTAATGATTAGGTTACAATTTAAGAATCGTCTAAGGTTACTTTAGTTTTATTATTATCGATTCCTATAAGGAGAAACTTCCGTCAGATGCGTTCCTCCCCTTAAGTAGAATACGCACGGTAATAGTCAGACATCACGTTCGGCCCCCCAGCAATAAAAGTACAATCGAGAACAGCACTTACCCGTATCGTTGTCTCCTGGAACACCAAGGCTATCACTATTGTCATTGATGAAGGCCTCCGCCGTCGACGTGAAGGTCTGAGGTGATAGTGTGAGGTCCGGCCCACTCTCACTATCGAACAGCTCTAAATTCCCGTTTCCTGGAACAGATCAAGAAGAAAAAACGTAACTTAAAAAATCGAAGCTCTTAATTTGCAACGATATATATTCTACCTGAATCTTTGAATATTTCAATACAACACTGGATACTACTCTTAGAAAAAGTAATACTATTATTCTTTAAACCTTTCATCGAGTAATTTTGAGGTTCTCCAAATATCTCTATAATTTTTCTTTTTATTTCATCGTGGATCATAGATAGGATTATAGAAATTACAAATTGAGGTTTTTGAAGAATAGAAGTGGCACGATTCTTGAGAATTTAGCCGCGAGAAGCAACGCCGAGGGGCGAGGTTAATGAATCGTGGCGAAAAATTGGTGGGCGCGTGTTTCAGACGATTTTCTCTGTTTCCGTGAACACATGGCCGCCACCGCGTTCGTCTTTATCGCCGCACAACAGGCAGAAGCGGAATCTCATTCGTCGTTGATTCCTCTCGATGCCAGCTTGCTCAACCTCGAGGTTGGCAAACGGCGCTGACAGATGGACAAGATTCTTCGCGTGTTACGAAGGGCATTGCTCAAAATAATTGGCTTCGTTTGTTACGATATGATCAGTTCTGACCATTGCTCGTCTACAATTATCACGGAAACGTTCCACGTCTTTCCGATACGAAAATGAATCGCTGAAAGCCGAACTTCTGCGTCTGACCAATTTGTAGAATACTATTTTCATGGCAGACGTACGTACTGCCTTTCGTTTATTGTACGAGTTATAATTTGTCACTGGAAGTAGGCAACTAATAATGTGTGAAGTAGCCTTCTGTATCATCCACTAACAATTAGTAAACTATTATAGAAATCGAACAATTTCGAACAATTTAGTAAATAATTAAAATTTCCAACTCCTTAATTTTCAAATAAATAAATTAAGTTCACAACTCCTCAATTTTTACGTAAATAAAACTTCCAAATCTTTAATTTTTACATAAATAAAATTTCCAAATCCGTAATTTTAAAATAAATAAAATTCCAACTCCTCAATTTTCAAATAAATAAATTAAGTTCACAACTCCTCAATTTTAAAATAAATAAAATTTCCAAATCCCTAACCTTACTCTCCAAAAATCACTTGCAAGAGAATGATTCTCAAAATTCGCAAAGAAACTCTGCCAAAGCGTAGAATCGGTCCACAAAGTACCGCGAGAGAAAGCTGAAACCAAGCTCGGCGAATAAATCAGAAAACGTTGTAACACGATTGCAAGGTGGTTGATCGATCACTTTCGCGATGAACGCGGGACGAGCGGGGGTCGAGGGCGTTAGGGAACGGGGCTAGGAGGGTTAAACGAGAACTCCTCGGGTATGAGACGAGTGTCGCTTTCGCATATTCCTCGGCGCACTGACAACAACGCTGGAGCACTCTTACGAGAACTAGCAGCCAGTGGAGGATCTCTCGAGATCTTAGGTGGCCTTCGCGATCCGAGGACAACTGCTGCCAAGTGGTAGCAAACTTTGACTGTGGATTTTAGGTTACGAAGACCCGTCGCGCTAAGCGACCTAAACTCCGTCTCTCCGCTTGTCAGACCCTCGTTACGACCATCTCGGTTCACTCGATTATGCCACTGTCGTCGACCTGTCCTCGTCGAACCATGATCGGTCCTACGCGGTTCTATGCTTTCGATACAACCTAATGAGAACGACTGGAAATCGTCGGTTGCACAGCTCGAGCTCAGTTTCATTTTTACTTTCTTTTCTGGGTTCGTACGTTTCTTGCTTCGATGAAAATTATGGTTGGTCTGAGAAATGAAGAAGTGACTGATAAGTTACTTATTGTATTGCGTTGATTTGCTTCTGAAAATAAATTTCATAGAGAAATTTTGATAATATTTCTTTCTATTTTGGAAACAGAATAATATCTAGTTATCATAGGTAACAATCGAAACATACGATGAGCGATAGAACAATGCAAATTCACTACACGAAACTATTAATTTAAAATTAAAATATCTCGAGTGACAAATTTCTAACGTACCTAAAAAGAAATAATTGAAAACTGAAATACGGACTCTTTTTATTCGAACAATTGTACGTTTCATCAATGTTCAGGGTACAGTACAAGACACTGTATACTATATTCATCTGCCTCTACATCGACTACGTACACGATCCGCCTCGTAGATGAGCGTTAGCGTTAATTCAAAGCGACCGTATGCATCTCGCGACGGATTAACATATTCCAGATTATCCGTCTGCGTTTGCGTTTATGCTCGCGCCATTGGGTTAGTTAAATATGTAAATATAAGCGGCCCAGCAACGTTGGACGTTATCCACGTTTACGAAAGATCGATGAATCACACGCGCGAACACACATGCCACGCTTCAAAATGCGAATATACGTCAAGAGAGATTCGTGCGAGGGAGGCATCCGCGTAATTGTTTTCGTTCTTTCTTTTAAAAATAACCGAGATCCGTCGATAAGAAACTCTAGCAGCTTTTGCATCCTTAATACAGGATAGAAGAAAGTTTGGTGTGAATTTGAGAGTTTCAAGAAATTAAATCGCGTATCGTTAACCCTTTCACCGTGGCAACTTGTGCTACAGAGGGTAAATTTTTAAACGCGGCTGCAAAATTTCTAATTATGGCCGTGTTGTTTTAAAATTCGCTAAATTAAGGCAGAATTAAAATGGAAGTGTGCCGAAAGATTCAAATTTTCAGAACGATTGTAGGCACCGATAGCAATGAAAGAGTTCAAATTTTAATGCCTTCTTCTCGTAGAATTGAATATTTGTACTGGAAAATTAGAGTTTCCAGGTAGTTCTACAGGGCGACTTAATTGTTTAGAACTAATACACGCTGAAGTTTGTTAACCTTTGTGAAAAGAATTGAAAGAAGTACGGCAAGTTTTGAAATATAAGATATTCCACCAACCCATATCATTAAACCTACTAAATTCGTTCCACTTGAGGCGCGCTTCAAAATGCTCCCTTTCAAACAATCGCCGCAAAATCCATTAAACGCTCGACAAACATAATCCTCACTATTTCACTCAACCTCTCGTTCTCCAAAACCCATCTCCTCAAACGTTACCTAGCAGCTTACTAAAAACAACCAACAAAAAAAAAACAAAGAAAATCAAATGCCCGTAACCCAATTACCCATCCTAGCCTGGAGAACTTTCTCTCGAGTACATCATCGGCCGCTCGCTCCGTCGTGATATGAACAAGAGAGAAAAAGAGAAAAAAAGAGAGAGAAAGAAGGCGAAGGGAAAAACAACATACACGCCGGATGATCACGAACAGACCAGGGGAATCGGAATTCTCAAGGAACAAAAGTAGTGAAGGGGCGAGCAGAGACGTAGGCGGAGGAGGCGATCCAGAATTAAAGTTCCGCCGCGAAGTTATTAACAAACGCGACCGCTTTATCTCGGTGTGGCTCGATTACGGTGGAACGGGGAGGATAGGAACGGCTAGGCTGTTCGAAGACAAGGGGTTGATCACCGTCGCCCGGAAAAACCGTAGGAGGAGCAAAGGGGAGAGCGAAAGGAGGGAGAAGGCGGTGGAGAAGAGGAAACGGCCGCGCAACCGAGTTTATACAGCGCGCGAACCAAGCCCAGATATTAATTTTCCCGATGTATATGGATGAGTTCCGACTAGGCCACAGGGAGAGAGAGGGGCGGATGATGCCTGGTGCCGGAGGTGGACCCAGGTCGGAGGTAAGTACATAGATGTAGCGGCGGGAGGTGGTCGCACAGAATGGCGAAGGGTGGTTAAATTGCTATCGATCCCTCCGAGCTTCGCAAATATCGTTTACCTTACCCTTGCAACCCTTCTAAAATCTCATCCACGCTCTCTCGCCCAGCGCCGACGTTCGCGCGCTACGCTTCCAGCACCATTTCGTATCGTTCCTCTTTCTCTCTTTCTTTTTTACGGCGGGTCAATGTCAGAGGGGGAATCGTGGAACTTCTTGCAACGATGGGTTTTTGACGAGGTTCCTTCGCTTCTTTGTCTACGAAAACCGAGGGGAAACCGTAGGTTCGTCGGTTTGCATGGGGATTATTGAAGCTAGGATAGTCGTGTCTGTGTTTTACAGTTGGATTACGGTGCGCTGTACGGTTAAAGATGTTGGTGGGTTTCTTAAGGAGTTTTTGGATGTTGAATCATTATTAGGGAATATAAGGACGAAAGGAAGGCTCTTATCAAAAGTTTCTTTTAAAAGAACGTAAGGTATAGGTTCCTATATTGAATTGTAGACTGAAGTATTTACGTGGTTCAGAAGACAAGAGGAAATTGTTGTAAAAATATTATCCATGTTTTGGTAAAATAATATAATAACTTGATTTAACCCAAAATTGCTCTTTTTTTTACAGTGGTTCAATTTTGAACGCAATTACTTATTTTCAAATCTCGTAAGATTTACAAAAGCACAATTTCTGCCAATTCATTGTAAAAAAAATAACCGATATTAAAATTTGTCCTTATTATATACTTGCCTTTAATTCACGAATGGCGACAATTTACTTTACTCGTGGTTGAACCAAATTCTCGCCACACTACAGAACTAAAATTCGCGTAAAATGGAGCAAAGATCCAAAAAACCTCCCTCAAATCCTGCAGGCAACATTTCCATGTAGAACCGAACGAGGCGTCGAAAATACAGCGCAACGTGCAAACAAAAATTTTAATCAAATTGAAATTAATGGCGATGAACATGTTCGGAACTATTAGGTGTCCGAAAACATTTTCGAAACCGCGCTCACTCGAGAGCCAGGCACGCGAGAGCGATCGATCGATTCCAATATTCGAGTTTCGCAAATTTTGTTTACCTTTCGGCAGCTGTGCTGTCAGGATTCTATCCTGTCAGATATGTGTTATCTGTGATCTCGATGTGCTGACAATTACGATCGACGATATCCCAGTTCGGGGGTTTTTTTTTTGTTTCAATCGTTTTTTCGTCTTCCGTTTCTTTTTTTTTTTTGCAGTTCGACAGTGTAAACCGTTTTCAATTTTCTCGCGCTAGTTTTAAATTTACCTTCGACCCGCGGTAC